TCCAGGTGCTGCGTCCTGCTCATGCTGCTGCTGCTGTGCATACAGAGGCTGCCTATCGCTCACACTCTTCAGAACCTGTGTGGGCAGCGCAGTGGCAAATGCACTCTAAATATGAGTGCATTACATCTACTGAAGAGCTGAATGTGTAACAAGAAGGCAGAAGTTCAAGTGGTAGTCCCAAGTCTTGCTGCTGTTGGCTCCTCAGTGACTCTTCCCTAGTTCCCATTTTTAATAGCTCTACTTCCATTTCATATGTTAAAACACATAACAAAGAACTTCTATCCTTGTTTATGCAAATATGTAGCCAGAACTCTAGTTATTGAAAGAATAGCATGGGCTTAAGTACAATTTGTCTAATTTTCTCATTAAATTAATCCAGGTTTTACTCCCTTCTTGAGAACAACTAAATACATGGTGGTAACTTATACCTCTACAAATCAAGTACTTATTGTCCACCTAAATTTTTTCATCCTTCTTTCAAATTGCTTTGTCTCCTGCTTTCCAGAAGAGAAAACTTCAAACACTTAAGTTCAGCCTGTAAAAGTTGTTCATGGGTTGGCACAGAGTGTGAGCTGAGACAAATGTTAACCCACACTATCTGTCACTTCAAAAGCCATCAATCCAGAAAAAACAGACTGATGATTTTACAGTAAGGCATCCATGGCACATCTGGTCCTATAAATACATCATAGTGGAGGCTTCTATAGGTTGTCAAGGGGCAGGTTTGTATTTATTGCACCCAATGAAGAAAAAGAGGGAAAATTCATTTCCTGTTTTGAAATGAGTCTCAGTTTTATCATAGGAAAAACTACATCATGAAGCTGACTGCAATTTAATGTACACAGCTTTCCTATTTAGTCACTAAGCAGATTATTCTTTGCTGGATGGATGTGTCATTCCTTTTAATGTTAATGATAGTCCCACATATGCCATGACAGAATAAATGTCAAACTATGTGAACCATTTAATCCCTAAAGTAAAATGGAGTAAATCCTTCAAGTAATGTAGGATCTGCCAGCAAAGTGATGGGAGCCTGTGAAGGGTAGAGAGAGCTTCTAACAGAGCTGAAATGTAGGGATGTTGCTTTGCCAGCTTTGGCAGCAAAGCCAACTGAAGATGTTCCCATCCATCCTGTCCCCATCCCTGTCCCCTTGTGCTGTCATCCCCGAGTTGAAGCAACTGTAAAAATGAGCTGCCTACAGGACTGAGGTTTAAATCACCCCTTCAGAAGAAACCAGAAGCCTGGTTGCCCTTGTTGGTCTTTAACCCAGCTCATTTCACAGTTCTGCAGACAGTCATAGCAGAGGCTCTGGGAGCAGCAAACAGTGGCCAGAGTCCAGGAATAAGCAATTAGGGAAGGGCTGAGGAGAAAACTTTCTACGCTAGTGTAGGAGGGAGCAGGCGAGCCAAAGGATGTGGAGTTATGCCAGGGTGCCTGCCTTGGAACACAGAGCATGGTTGTGCCACCTCTGCACAGAGACACTGTCCCACCGAGCTGAGACTCGCCGAGCTGATGACTCCAGCATGGTTTGGTCAGCACCTGGCTTTTCACCTGTGCCTTTGCCCAGGCTTTGAGGTGGACTGGCCAGTTCTTCTGGATCACAGCCAGGTTATTCAAGGTCCATCTCTGTTGTCTGCTCTCTGAGGCACCTCTAGAAGTCATGGACACATGCCAGGCCAGCATGACAGGGGACTCCATGAGCCAGAAAAACCTGAAGTTGCATGGAAAAGGAAACACCAAAACATCCTTTAGAGTTCTCTATTCAGCAATAAAGCAATTGTTTAAATGGACAAAAAGAGCAGGAGGTAGATGAAAACCAGCTCTAAGATTCACTGATTAAGCTGAAGAGGAAACTGAGATTTTACTCTTTTAGGAGGCTCTTGTAACCACTGAGCTACATCAGTAAAATCAGCTTTAGCTATGTATTTTCACACAGATTTTACAACTTCAGAAGTTTATCAATAAACAAACCCAGTGGCATTACTTAATATCTTGAGCACTAACTTGTCAGGTCAGAGCCACTGCAGAGGAACTAAGCTGGTCCTGCTCAGTCTGTTCCCACAGGATGAAAATCCAGTGGGTGTCCCCAGTAACAGCCTACCTGCAGATCTGGGATACTTTCATTCCCTGCACTTTGTCACAAACACGTATTTCTTTAAGAAATGAAGAAGATTCTTGTCTTTGGAGTTGAGAATCTTAAAGGTCTTTTCCAACTGTAGTGATTCTATAATTCTGTGACTTCTGAGGTAACCCTCATGGCATTAATGCAAGATTATATCACATGGAGTTAAAGGAATGCAGTCAACCACAGCAGAGGCGGGGAATTAAACCAGACTTCTGATGCTTCAAACAGGGCAGGTCATCAGATCAAGTTGTTTTCTCCCCACATAGGTTTTTCTTCCCTGGATGAGTCAGTCTGGATTCACATAGTAATGCATATGAGTCTCTCATATGGTACCAGCAGGATATGAAAGAGAAAATAGCCAGGAGGGTCCACTCTGCAGGTCTAGCACATCAGCCTCTGCGAGCCCCATTTGCCACCCCACCTTCTCTTGCCCTCCAAGACTGATGGGGACTTTGCAAAGTCCTGATGTGTTGTTGCGGTCAAGACAGCTCCACATGCAAGGCTGCTGTTCAGTGGCTGCTGACAGTGGCTCCTGCCCGTGCATTTGACCTGCTCTTCTGGCTGGCTGTGGTTTGTTGAGCTGCATCCCTGCTCCCACACTCCCCGCATTGGATACTGTTTGCTGCAGTAGTATCAGCAACAGAAGACAGAAGCAGGGAAGAGGACAGAGAACCTTTCAAAGGATACTTGAAAGAAATACCTTAGCTAAGAGGAGTTGTGCTGTTCATCAGAGAGGCTGTGAACGGTGACCTGTTTTGGGGGTGACAGGGGAGATGTCAGTAGAGATGTAACTCTGAGCATTGTTGTCCATTAGGAAACCCAGCATCTCCATTGCCAGAATAGCTAATATGAACATGGATTATTTCACCAGTCTTCTCCTTCCTCTTGGAAGCTCTATTCCTCTTCTATCACAGCCAATGAATCATTTTTATGGGATATTGAGAATGCAGATTGAGACTATTTAAGTACCACTGCTGGAAAAGAGTGCATGCATTCTGAGAAATGACAGGTAGGTGACAGGCACTGACTGGAAGGTTTACTCTGCCAAAGGCAAAGGAGAACAGGGGTTGAGGGACTTGCAAGACCACATGAGCTGCCCATCAGATGTGGGGGCATCAGTAGCAGTACTCAGAAGCATGCTATTCACTTCTTCTGCGTAATTTGCTTGCATGTCTAAATGCCTGATACACAACAGCAAGCGTCAGGCCACTGCAGATGACTGAATGGCTAAACTCGGTCACTTTGCTTTGATTGTAGTAACTCTCAGCATCATCATCCTGTAGGCCTGGGCAGGTCCCTTCTCCATGGGTAAGGCTTGCCACACAGCATGCAAACAGCCCTGTTGCAGGGCCAGTGGGAGGAAGGAGACTGCTAGGGAGGAAAGCATGGGTTTTATTGTTCTGAAAGAACAGTTGGTGGTGAAAGCTCTAACGTGTGATAACATGTTCATGCAAACAGACATGGTGACAAGCTGTGCCAAGGGTGCAGAGGACTTTAGCCTCAAAGCTGCAGCAGTACCTCCCTCACAAAGCAGCAGATAGCCCTCTCTGTCCAGTGTGGTTGCTGGCTAGGTGTGGAGCACTGTGGCAGCAGGATAGCACATAGTTGTAAGGACTTGGGGTCCTGACAATACTCTTTTTGGGAAGGCTGGAGAAACTGAGTGACAGGGGAAGGGGACAGAGGTTGGCTGCAGCTCCTGGAGCAGGACCAGGTACAGAGCACCTCCTCCTGTGGAGGACGAAGAGGGGCAGTGGCTGCCGTTCATTGTTTGCGTTCCACATTGAGGACTTTTCTTCTCTCCAGAAACACTCCAGTTTTGAGATATTATCTCCACCACTTCTTACATGCTTTTGAAAACTGCTTAGTGGTGGATCTGGCAGTGTTAGGTAAAAGGCTAGATGATTAATTAGAGGCCTTTTTGAACCTTAATGATTCTAACCCAGAGATGGCAAGTCTATCCCCAGTTTCCTTCTTGAGCTCTTTTATGTGCTGATAGACGAAAGCATGCTCCTGGGGCCTTTGGTGATCTGCTGCTCCAATCTATCTTTTAGCAGGGATGCTTCACAGGGACAGTTACTTACCTGATCGCTCATCTCTGCCTGGGAGGGTTCAAGGAGTGCTGATGAACCCTGGTTAGTGATCACATTACCGGTTCTGCAGGTAGTGTCCTCCCTTTTTTTGCATGACATAACAAAAAAACTGTGCATTGACAAAACCTAAAGGAATTTAGCGAGAGCCTTGCTCTGGTGAATCCCAGAAAGGTGCCTCCTGCTATCCTGCAGAGCTGGAAAAACACACACTGATGCATTGGTCCTGATGCACAGTTGGAGGTCTCAGCAAACATTTCATTATCCCACTTTCTATCTGCAGCTCATGGATTGCTGCATCTGTAAAACTGTCATGCCCTCAGTCTCAGATATTTTGCAATGGCAAGAAAGGGTCCACTGTCTGTGCTTTGTAATTTAGCTTTTGCATAAATAATTTTATTGCAGCCTGCTACACTGACTTCAGAAGGCTCAAAGAACAGAGCTGGATTTATCACGGTTAAGGCATTCACTTTCCATAGCCAGAGGCACACGGAGGAGGAGATATGTGACCAGCACCCGGTTGACCACCCTAGGCATGGCAGCCAAGAGGGCCATTGACAGCTGGGTGACACAGCAGCAGCCTTTTTCATAAGATGATGTGAGCTGGGCACAAACTCACAGGCTCAGCTCCCAGAGCTGCCACTCCCCATCGCTGCTACATGACTCACAGGCAGCTCAAAACCTTCCCTGATAAGGGGTTTGCAGAAACAAAAAGAAATACAGTAAACAGGGAATAATAGGATAATAAAAAAGAAAGACCTCCAAGAGGAGCCAAAATAAAAAATTCCAAACTTTTATTAACCAAACAAGACAGTGTGAAGGCATAAAAACTGGCACTGATTTTCTCTGTGAATTGCTGCATTTCTAGCACTATGTGTCCTCCTAAACCAAGACTGCAAATCTGTGCTCTTCGCTAAAGCTGAGCATATGATCCTTAAGGATGCAAAGGAAAATGGAGAGCTGTGCTTGGAGGGTTTCCAGCTGATCAATTGGGAAAAGGGCAGCCATAGACCTGAGTATGCTGACCAGGAGAAAAGCTAGGGAGAAAGAGGCATATTTTGCCAGCTGCACTCCCAGTTATTTAGCCCGCAGCTGTAGCTGGGGAGAGGGTGAGCAGCGTGTAAGGTGAATGCAAGCTCACATCCACTCAAGGTAACTCATTTTCTCATTACTGAGAAGTGTGCTGCACATGTTGGCAACATCCTGCAGGCACTGGTTTCAGGCCTCCCCTGTGACAGGGCTGCTTGCTGCAAGGCAAAAACATGGAATGCATGGACAACGTCCATGCTGACTGGACATGGAATGACTGTCTGTGACCTACTTGTCAGCCTCAAGTTATTTCAGTGTGACAGAGATCGGCTCCCTCACACTGCCGTTCCAACCTCAGAAGCTGAAAAAGTCCAGGGAAAACTCAGCTCTGCCTCCAGTCCTGGGCTGGGGTCGCAGATAAAATGAGTGCCTGCATGAAGCAGGCTGGGATTGCAAGGATCTGGGCAAGCAGAGGTAACATCTGACCAACAGCTGCAGCGTGGCTGAGGCCAGCATGGCACTGTGCACACAGGTGAATGCTGAGAGAGAGCAGTGTGACCAGCAGCCACACCACTTCAGCACTGGAGTGCAGATGCACAGACACAAAGCATGGCTGGGGCACAGCTTGCTCTGCTGGGACGTTGTTTCTAATGCTGTACAGTCCAGCCATGATCCCAGAAGGAATGGGTACCATTGGAGCCAAGAGGTGTAGGCACCAGCTGCCACTGCCCCATGGAGCCTTGACAATGTTGGCACCCATCTTCCAGCTGCTTCTCCCTGATGCTTCAGGTTCTCAACCTGTTTGTCTGCAAAGAAAAAGCCTGTCTCCAAAGCAGGACTTCCTGCCCCATGAGCTCATTCTTTTCTTCCCTGAAAGAAAAAGGCCTTGATCACTTCTCTAGCAACAGCCAAAATTGCCAGAGAGAAAAAACAGGGTCGCACAGGCCAGCAGCAAACTTGCCTTTATCATTCCTGCAAAGCTACCATCAGCTAGAGCTGTTTCAAAATATAGGCTTTGCTGACCTCTAGGGGACTGCTACAAACCCAAAACCATAAAGGCTTCAAAGCACATGCCATATTATAGCCCTTCTTCACGGCTCCTCAGGAGCCCTGCAGTGGGGTAACACAGCTGACACAATCCACTCCTGGTCTCTTTAGCACTACTAGGAGCTGTAAATAAAACCCTAGCTCCAACACTGCCTCTTCTATCTCACCTTTATGGCAGCAATACCTCAGGAAATGTGTACAAGCAAGGTTAGGTTGTTGGGGAGATATTGCCTGCTATCAGACTGCCTCATTGCTGCTTTTCAGCATAGAAAGCATGCTGGGAGTTTGGGGCTTTCAGTATCAGTTTGTCTAGTAAAAGGTATAAAAGCCTTGCCTTGGTGTCACAAGCACAGTAGTACTCAGTAAAAAGCATGGATGCATATACCTAAGCATTGTAAAGAAAGTTAAATGTGCTTCTTTACGGCATTTCATCACTTAGTAAACAAGTGGCAGAAGCAAGAACCTTGTCACAGAGTAGAAGGAACATGAAGAAAACACAAAATCTGATGTGCTCCTTAAAACAGCACATGGTGCTGCCAAGGGCAGTAACAGCATTTCCCAGCTGGCTGATAGAGGACAGAGGTGGGGAACAGAGCATTAGGCAGGAGCCAACAGAGGCAGCACATACTGCATACCTCGAATGAACCTGTTCTTGATACTAAGCCAAAGCCTATCATAGCCCTAAAGTATCCTAATTTCTTGATCTGGGCAAGGTGTGATATAACTTTGGAGAGCTGGAGTGTGGACAGACTTGAGCTGGGAAAAAAACCTGTGCGTATGGCAGTGCCTCCAGCTGCGGCCACCACCTTGTAGGGCAGCTCCCTACCCCAGCAGGGCAGATGGCTGTCCCTGGGCTGAGGTTCATGTTAGCAGACAGCTGATGTTTCAGCCATTTAAATTCACTTGACCTTCTGATGCAGGAAGAAGCCCATCCAGCAGACCTGAGAGGGCAGCAGGCTCCAAGCAGCTGAAGAGGTGTTTCGGAACAGCACTGCTTCCGCAAGGGCAGCTGTATCTGTAGCTGGAGCCTAATTGCCCCAGTGGCTTCCACCATATGCAAAGGTCTCTCAAGAGGCTCTGGGGCCCCTGCTGTTGGGATCATGTTCCAACTAGAGGGAGGCAGTCCTGGCAGGCACTCCACCAGATGCAGGAATGACTTTATAGGCAGCACTTGGCATTCTGAGCACATCAGAGGGTATGTAATTTGGTGTGCTCCTACTCAGTGCTCATGCCCTGGGAAGTGCCAAAAATACAAGGCAAGTACTAAGTTAAAGCACTTCCTCTTCCATGGGCTGGAAGATGTCAACCCACAGAGGCTCATGACAACAGGTAATGACTGACTTGACTCTTTCAATTAAATCAGGGTGAGAAGATGTCAAAGCGGCAATTAGGAGTGAAGTGTTTAAAGAAAAGAGACAATTTGAACAGAATCACCATTTTCATCTCAATATCGTTACATGTCTCTTATTTAGAACAGATGTCTCCTCATTCTGTGCAAAACAGAAAAGGACCTGTGAGGTCTAAAATACTGGCTCATACACAACAATTTCTGGCTTCTGACAGCAAATCCACTGCCTCAGACTGTGCCAAACCAAACCACCTAATAATTCTGGGTCCATCAAGGCTGGCTTTGCAGTGCCCAAATCTCAGATGACATAATTTTCTCCTCCTTACACCTGTAAACACTGTTCTATCCCATTGAAGTCAAACCTGTGCCACATGCATTGTAGTTGTGTTTTAGGCCCTCAGATTCACAACTGAGTTGATTTTGTTCACAGAGAAAAGACACCATCAGTCATCAAAGTTTGGTAAGCTCTTTAATGGGAAGCTCATGGTGTAATGACACTGCTGGATTTAACACCTTGGTGGTAAATGAGGATCAGAGGAAGGAGAATCAGAAGGCAGGCAGTGCTCCACTGAAGGCTTACACCTTTCAAAGTGCTGAACAAAAGGGCAACTTCTTTTGCTGACTCCTTTCACAGCTTTATAGTCCCAAAAACAGATAGGTCTTCCAGCCAGAAAAATGGTGGAAACCAAACCAAAGACAGCCTTGGCATGGTGTGGCACATGATTTCTGCTTGATGTGTGGAGGGCTGACTAGTCCCTGCATTAGTAAAGGAAAACTTGACAAAAGAGTTGCATTGACTGAAATCCAGAGCTGACATTTCTACCACCACCACCCCTGAAGATGAAAGCTTCTTTTACATGCAGTGTTACCACAGATCTTTGCCTACATGAGCAACAGCATGTTGGTACAGAAAGAGAATTTCAAAGTTCAATGTATTTTACATGAAACCAGTAAGCTTCACTGTAGTCAGGAATAACTAGTTCAAAGAAGTTTGGGTTTTTTTTCTTGTAGACAAATGAAGGCCCTTTTCATTAATCTGTAGGTTTTTTTTATATCCAAGCTCATAGCGACAGTGCAGTGCTACTCAGCTCTGTATAAACTGGGGTTTGCATTAATGTGGGTGTGTCTTTAGGGACTGTCTTTCTTGAAAAAAAAAATCACCAATGATAAAAAAAAATCAAACACAGATCATGTAAAAGACTATTTGGCTCACTGAACAAGTAAATGTGGTTAAGTGGTTTCCCCTGCCCACCTGCCACAGACATCAGACACCAACAGTGCAACTAAGTCTCAGAAGTCCAATAAAAACCCAGTGACAGGGTCTGCCCTCTATGGATCAAATTTAAGGACTCTATTTAAATATCTGCATTGGAAGTGATGTGCCCTGAGCCTTCAGCTCCATTGTTACCCTGAAAGGATGACCCCAAGTCCAGCCTGTTACAGGGCCTAGGAGCTGCTGCCCTGAGTCACTCCTGCCTGGCTCTCACACAAAGCTTTCCCAGCTGCAGCTGTCTGCAGAGACAGGCTGCTGGGGAGGAGGGAAGGTCCTGCCAGAATTAAACACATAAAACAAAGCATTTGCCTCTGCTCAGCAATTTACAGAAAAGGGCATCCAGCTAATGCCCCTGAAGGGATCTTTCCCAACTTCCCATGTCCTCTGGCCAGACCAAAACCAGCCAGCACTGAGAAAGAGACCTCCCAGTGCCCAAGGCAACCAGACAAGTCTCATTTTCTGGATGCCCAACCTGGAGAGCCTCAATGGGTTATGATTTTCAGAGACTGGATTATCTGGCTAGACAGAACTGCCTGTGAAAAGATACTAGGTTTGGCACCTAAAATGACTGCTGTCTTCTGCACAGCCCCTGTCTGGCATGGACCACCCACAGGTCCTCAAGGGATAACACATCTCCCATGCCATCTAATCCCCATGTACAGAAAGGACAGTGTGAATCACACTGTTCTGAACTGCAGATCCACTGATACACCTGCCTACAAGCTGTGAGAGGTAAAGAGGTGTTTCTCTCCTCCTTCCTATGCTTCCCTTCTTCTGAGAGTAAGAACTTCTGAGAAGACCACAACGCTAAGGAGGGAAGGATGGACACAGGGTAAAGACGCATCCTCAGCTCCTGCCACTGCTAAAGCTAATACTGAGTGAAACAGTCATTGACATCAGCTCTGGATCCCAAAGATCAGGAAAGATGCTGAAAGAGGCTGGGAATATGTCCTGAATGGCAGCTTTCCAAAATACTGTCCACAATGGTATTGCAATTGTTTTTACTGTCACAGTCTCATGTCCCACCTTGCAGAGGGGTAAATGGCAGGGATCTACTCAGCAACGTTGCAGCAGACACTCCTCCCCGCTGCCCCCAGCCACCATTTCACACAGCACCTTCCATGGGACACAGTGACAAGATGCAGCAGCAGACATGCATGTCACTGATGCAGGAAAACTAACTATGGCTATTCCCAGAAAAAGTGGCATTCTTAAAAGAATGAGACTTTCAAAGGCACAGCACTATGCATGGAGGGAAACTGCCTGGAAAAGAGCCAGAAGCAGGGCAGGAGGTGGAGCTGAAGTCTGGTAAGGGCTCAGGTCATCATGCACACAGTTCACTATGCAGATACTTGGCAGGATGGCTTTGGCTGTCTCAGAAATCTCAGCATCTCCCTCTCTGAAGGGGCTTTGTTCACTCTTGCCCCTGCACTCATAACAGTTCTGAAATCTGCCTTTCCATCTGGCATCCCATGTATTTCTCATTGCCCAAGCAGCACTCTGCTGTTTGCATTCATGCAACTAACATTCAGAAGCACCAGTTCTGCAAGAGGCTCTGCTCTGCTGTATTTATATTTAGTTGGAGCATGAAATGCCTATGAGGAAGGCCATTGGAAGGCATTGAGGAAGGGAAAAGGGAGACCCTTCTGTGTCCTTTTATTACTGGTTTGCTCTGAGGATAGGCAATGACAGTGGTATCTCTGTTCACCCACAGACCTAAAGCACTATATATGCTGCTGGACAAATAATAGTAACAGTCCCTTTTACAAAGGTGGGACTCTCAAAGGACTTATCCCGCTCCTGCTCAATTTTCCAGAGGCCTGCATGCAGAACTGAAAGTCTGCCCTGAATTCTCAGAGACTGAGACCCGCCTAAAGCTCAGGGCAAGGCAATGGCAGAGCTACAAACCCTCGTATCACCAAATATCCAGGTCTGCAAGCATTTATGCATGTGTTGGCAAATCTTGTGTCTCAGTCTGGCAGCCTAGTCACTGGGTCATGCTACTCCTGATTAATTATTGAATGGCTACTAACTGCAATATGTGGTAGGAGGGAGGGAAAAATAAAATACAAATGAAATACAAAAACATTTTGTAGTACAACCAAACCAGTTCCACACCTCTTGCAACATTTGGCAAGTATGAAAAAGTAACACAGTAATACAGAAATGTATTTGGTCAAAGTAAGGAATCAATATTTTTTGATAAAATACATTCTATATTAGTGCTCATTCACATTTATTACATGTAAATTAAATTTTTTATGTATAAAATTCCAGTTTATTCTCAGTGCTGCCTGGTCATGCTTCAGTTCAGCAGCAGGGTTCAACACATTCGGCTCCTAGCAAAGTGGGAGGAAATGAGAGCACTGAGCTTTCTGCAGAACCAGGCCTCACACAACCCCTTGTCCTGCAGGTCCTGTCTGAACAATATCTCACTGGCTTCAGTGAGAGCTTTGCAGGGGAGAGTGCTGCATAAGGGCTGGCTGTCCAGCATTTGCAGTCTGTGTGGAAGTCGCTCAAATGGCATATGACATTCCAAAGCAAAAGTGAGTTAGTGGATACAGAAAATAATAATAATAATAATATATCTACATAATTTACAGCGTTGTTTGCTTGCAACTGTATTAATGTTCAACCGCTCATTAACAATTCAATCAATATGCAGGGAAAGGTAGCAGATGTACACATTACAACCTCCTGCATGCAATTACAAGCACTGGATCTTAGTCTTTCCTCATTTCATTAATTCCTACCTATCCCACTGCCACCAGTGCCCAGTTCCCACTGAGCCTTGTGGAGTCAATCCCTCACAGCATTTAGGCTGGTCCACACCTCTGCCATAGGCCCCTGACACCGTGCAAAGCATTTAGCAGCAGGTCCTCAGCTACTACCCATGTCCACCCTGCACCCTCCCCTCTGCTGTGCCAGCACTCATCTGTGCAGCCACACGCTGAGCCAGATGGTGGGACCGATCCAGCTGGAAGCCTGCCTGTCTGTAAAAGGCAGAGAGTTGTGTCCTGGTCAGGCTGGGCTCACAGCCCAGCTCACCGTGCAAGTGTGTGGGGGGTGCCTGCACCTGCACACTGGTGCCAGCCACCTGCCCCTCAAACAAATGGCCTAGCAACCTGAACAGTAGGACTCTGTCTCCAGCTTGCACTACTGTGACTTGCTCACTTGCCATTACACTAGAGCAGACAGAGGAAAGTTAGCCCCATAAGATCTACTTCTGTGAGCCATAACCCAAGGGTTGGATGCTATGAAGAGAAAGGCTCTTCCAAAGGAAGGTTCTGTTTAAGGTTATAGCATCTGTCCAAGCTGGAGAAGAAAGAAAAATTTAGGGGCTTAAAGCAGGGATGGAAACCACTGGTCTTACATTTTATTTCAGTAAGCAAAAAGCCTATTGCTGCTGTACAGTGTTATACAGTGAACTGCCACAGTTCTCATGTCACTAGTCCATAGAAAAGGTGCTGCAACTACCATGTCTATGCCTGCATGCTGAAAGAATGTACAAAGTTGCATTAAGCTCTGTTTCTCTTCCTTTTTTTTTTTTTTTTTTAATATTCTTAAACTCTTTTACAGTGTTGCAGACACTTCTGTGCAGACTCAGGTAACAAACATAGTCCCAGTTATGGAAGATCTTTGTCTCTGACAGAAAAAATCATGTGCTATGTGTCTCTCAAGCCACCATCATAATTGTAAACCATCAAGAAAACTTGCTCTCTTTAGTAACCCTGGAAAAAGAGTCTCTAAAAATCTATTGAAAAGGAGATATCGTTAACAACGGGGTTTTCAAAATGATGCAAGTTGTTTATAGGAGTTGTCCAAGCATATTCTCTTCACTCACTCTTTGTTTTTATAAAGCTAATTCTGTATAAAAGGGCTTTTAAAGCCTGTGACCTTCATTTCACGATTTTTAAAAAATTGGAAAAAAAAAGGAGGAAATTTAGAAACATCTTTCTTGATTGTGGAAAACAGCTGTATTACAACAGAATTACTTTTGCTTCTTATATTTTCAGTACAAAAGGCAAGTAGATAAAGAAACCCTGCATGTTCACAATCCGGCACTCATCCAAGTTACTTGCAACTATGTAAAACAGGTAAAAAATATGAGGGGTTGTCTTCTTCATACTAAGACCCTCACCAAACCCTTTGGGGAGCAAGTCCCCTGATAAGTAAAACCTCACTAGATTTTATAGCAGCTGAAGCAGTATTTCAGCTCCCCTCCAATAAGGTGTAAATGCCCAGACTAGCTCAAAGGCCCAGGAAGAGGTCCAGCATAATTTTAAGAACCAGGTGCTGGTTGATACCCTTATGGCTTCAGTGTTAAGTTGCATTCAAGTTGCACTCAAGGAAGATCTCGGAAACTACAGGCCTGTCGGTCTCACCTCAGTGCCCAGTAAAATAATGGAAAATATTATTCTGGAATTATATATATGTACCTGGAGTACAATGCAGTCACTGGTCACAGCCAGCATGGCTTCATGAAGGGAAAGTCCTGCTTGTCAAAGCTGATTTCCTTTTATGACAAGGTAATTCACATAACTGATCAAGGGAAGCAAGTTGAAGTAATATATTTGGAGTTCAGTAAAGCTTTTGATACTGTATCAAAAATACCCTTCTGACCAAAATGTCAAGCATACAGCTGGATAAACATGTCATGAGACGGGTGAGCAACTGGTTCACTGGCTGGGCACAAAGGGTTACAGTGAATGGGTGACATCAGACTGGCAATCTGTCACCAGTGGGGTACCACAGGGCCCCATCCTTGGCCCTGTGCTCTTCAACATCTCATTAACAACCAGGATGCAGGACTTGAAGGAATATTAAGTTCACTGGCAACACTAAATTGGGAGGACCTGTCAACTCTCCGGAGGGCAGAGAGGCCCTGCAGAGAGACATCAACAAATTAGAGAAATAGGCATCACCAACTGTATGGAGTTTTAACAGGGAAAAGTGCTGGATTCTGCACCTGGGACAGGGCAACCCTGGTTGTGTGTAAAGATCAGGGAATGAGAGGCTGGAGAGCAACGCTGTGGAAAGGGACCTGTGAGTCCTGGTTGATGGCAAGTTGAATGTGAGTCAACAGTGCCCTGGGAGTCAGGAGGGACAAGCATCTCCTGGGGCCATCAGGCACAGTCAGGCAAGAGAGGGGATTGTCCCGCTCTGCTCTGCTCTGGGGCAGCCTCACCTCAAGTGCCGGGGGCAGTTTGCGGTGCCACAATGTAAAGAAGATATTTAACTATTAGAGAGTATCCAGAGGAGGGCAACAAGGATGGTGAAGGATCTGGAAGGGAAGCCTGGTTAGGAGTGGCTGAAGTCACTTGGTCTGTTCAGCCTGAAGGAGACTGAGGGGAGACCTCATTGTGGTCTTCAGCATCCTCAGGAGTGGAACAAGGGCAGCTACAGATCTCTTCACTCTTATTATTGTGCCAGGACCTGAGAGAATGGCCTGAAACTGAGAGGTTTAGGTTGGATATCAGGAGAAGGTTCCATACCCAGATGGTAGTTGGGCACCAGAACAGGCTCCCCAGGGAAGTGGCCACAGCACAAGCCTCACAGAGCTCAAGATGGGTTTGAACAATGCTCTCAGGGACACTGTGTGGCCACACTCTGTGGATCTTGGGGTATCCTGTGCAAGGCCAGGAGTTGGACTCAAGGATCCTGATGGGTCTCTTCCAACTCAGCGTATTCTATGATTCTATGGTTCTAATGCATGATGCCACAAAGTTTGAGTAATAATTTGGCAGTGTATCAAAACCGGCAAAGCTTAAAGTTAGTTATCATGCAGAAGTGGGATAGGCAATAGCTATTTTTTACTTGAGTTGTAAGAAAGCAGCACTTGCCTTTGGATCACATGGTGTCGGAATATCTGTTGGTTATAATGTGTGCTGCTGCCGCCAGTTACTCCCAGTTATTAATTCAGCACTTGGAAACTCAGGTGTCAGTGAAATGACATCAGTATGTCTGACACCTCCTGGATTTCCTGCTTCCCATTATTTTTGTTAAGCCTTCATATGTATTTCTGCAGCACCAACCACTACTAAACTACTGTTTTTCAGGAGAAGTCACTCCATGTTTGGTACTTTGTCAAAAACCTAGAGCTGTTGAACTAAAAAGAGAAACGCAGGATGTGTTTGCTCTCTGCGCTGGTTTCCTTGGAAAGGTCACTGGTGAGGACTGGGCACTCTTCCCACACGCCTCCTACATTCTCAGTACTCTACATTCATGTCAGCAAACACTACTCTCGAACACAAATCGAAGAGACAAGTCAGCGACAAAACTACTTCTAGACTGATAACGGCAGAATGCTACCAAGACAACTCCATAGAAAACCCACTGAAGCAGGAGCAAAATTCAGGTCACTATTATTATTTTTTTGGAACCATTTTTTGTAAAACTTTTATCTTGGCAGCCAGATATCCCCTTGTGATGTGCTAATTCAAACAGGCTAACGTGGGACCACCTGACCCCACCTGGTACCAAAGGCTTCCGAATTTTTTTATAGCTTCTCAGAAAATCACTGCTGACTGACACCCATCTGTTGGTGATCGGCTTCTGGTTCCTCTTCTTCCACATCTGCGTTATATTCTTCAAATGCATCATCATCAACATCTGGAAGCCCAAGTAACTACAAAGAAGAGAAAACACTGTGTAACAGTGAATTACCCACTCGTGCAGCTTTGCTGCAAATCTTCACACAAATCCTACATGGACTTCTTAAAAACCTCAAACACTGCAATAACAGTACTGAATAATGATCTTGATTCTCTTTCTCTCCCTTCTGGGATAAAGAAAGATTTGAAAATGCATCCTCACACCAAATTAAGTGCTCAGAGACCGGAAAATAAATAAAACCAAAACAAAGCACTTGCAAAAAGCTCTACATTCTTCCCTGAGGTCACATTATGAATTGTTGAGTGTTTAGACTTGGCAGTGGCTTAGCTTCAGAAAGAACCATGATAATACTGTAGTAGTAGTAGTTGTCTTGGTTTAAGTTTGTATTCCATCAGCCCTATAAAAGCCAAAGAAGAAAGCATCCTTGAGAAGGACTGGCTAGTGTGGAGTAGACAAGGAGTCCCTAAAATTCTAAAGAATCCACCATGTCAAGTGCTTCTCTTGAACCCTTCATTCCATCACACCAGACAAAGTTTTGCATGCTGTGTGAAGCCCTTGCAGTAAAAAATACTGTGTATTCCACTGAAATATTGTCCCTTTAAACTTCTGCAAATTAGATTTGGGATTCCAAGGAACTTCCAGCCCCTCTTCCTTGGACAATGTTTGGATGCCTCCACCTGATGGATCTGACCACTGCAACATCACCTCTTCAGTACAGGAAAAGGAGCAAACAACCATGTTTAAACTTCTTCCCTCTCCCCCAAAAGGTTGCCAAGCCAACAGAAGTCAGGAAGACAGATAAACCAAGTAACAGTCAAAATAATGCATCTGTTGTGGAAATCTCAGATTCCTACACTAACAGCTATTAATAGCCACAAAGCAAAATCACAGGCAGGCATTACTGAGAATATCATGCATTTAGCTTGCCAGGGCTGGAAGAGCAGCACAGATGCATGTAACACCCTCTTTGGAGAGTGATGCAGCTGTTAGCTCTTGAAAGAGGCAAAGCCCAGAAAAACTGTGAGAAGAGTGACACTCTTTAGGTGAGAGCATGGAAATGAGAAGGCTGCAACGAGGCAGATTTTCAGGGACCTAAACTAATTCAGTCTGTGATCGACATTCAAAATTATTCAGTGGACATAAATACAAGGCATAGAATTAGCTTCTGAGTGCAATGAAGCTTGTATTCCTCCCTGTCACTGGGAGAAAATCAGATTTTTAGTTACAGGATTGCTTTGGCAGGGAAACGGAAGGAGAATTTGCTGACTAAATCCCCTCCTTTGCATTTTAAAAATACTTATGGAGAGACCCCAAATGGAAAACATTCTTGTTTTCCGAGCAGAATAAAGTAATTGTCCCTATGCATACATATTTTTTCAAATCAAATGCCTAACTGAACATGAATTGCTCAGTTCATTTTCAAGATGTGGGGGTTTTATTTCATGTTGAAGCTAAAATTAAAATACTCAGTTTTCCAAAGGCAAAATCAAGGACTCTTTCTAGACTTTCTTATAAAACAGTATTATTTTTGCTAAACTAATCTGGTATATTCAAATTAAACGTGAGTGTTGTACTCCTGTTTGTATCACCTGTCAGAAAGAGTTTTGACTGCATTTTTTTTCCCCACTTCTGGTCATAATTCCTCTATGATTTGCAAGAAAATGAGTCACATGAATCTTCATTTTATGGGATACTGTATTGCAAAATTAGCATGGAAAACACAACATGCACCACAAGAACTGCCAAGACATACACAATCCCAAAGGATGGGGCGTACATCCTGCTTTTCACACATCCCCTCTCTTCACCATCAGGAAATCCAGCTCCTCTTTCCCTGGAGCAGCATAAATCAGAGGGAACAGTGTAAATCAGAGTGATACTGTAGACTTTAGTGGTTTTACAGAGGAAGAATGGAGGTGGGATGGGATGGGATGGGATGGGATGGAAAATGGGATGGAAAATGGGAAATGAATGGAATGGAATGGAATGGAATGGAATGGAATGGAATGGAATGGAATGGAATGGAAGACTCCTCCAAAGAGAGATGCAGTTTTATTCTCTTGCAGATACTTTATGACCCTCCAAGCCACCAAGGACCTTGACCATGCAGGTCTTGCTTTTAGGTGTCACATCCTGTTGCTTCCCAGAGGACTATGGTGGTCCCTCACTGCTGTTAACCCCTTACTGCTCTCTGGACTGCAGTAACAAATTAGCCCACACCTTCAATACAAGGAGGGACAATCAGGGTCCAAAATGCAGAGAGCTCTACAAACATTGGGACAAAACAGAAGGAGGTGTACAAAAGGTAAGAACAAAGTAAGATGATGAAGATGGCCTGGGCTGATCCTAGACTGACTCCCACCTTGTCTTCTTTCCTACACACTAGTTTCTGCTTCATATATTCAAGTATCAGCTATGCAGCAGACTTCAAAGGACTTAAATGGAGAGGAAAACAAGGAGAAAATATATAAACCAGAAAACTGTTGTAGAAAGAAAGAACTGATCCATCAGCAGAAAAGCCGAGGGGAACAAAACTGCCAGGCAAGGATGCATGGCTAGGAGGAGGTCAGGGGCATGGTAAGAAGGGAAGGAGGGAGGATAACAATCAACAGCATTGCCTGAACTACAGCTATTTATTTCTGCTGGCTAAACTGCCCATCTGGAGGTAAAGGAGAGGTCACTGGGACATGCATGAATAGAGTGAATATGGAATAAATGGCTTGTACACTGCAGACTCCCCACTTCAGAGGTAGGCTTTCTTCCTTTGAAGATGAGCTCAGTGTAGGACCCCTGGAATTTGCTGCTGATTTGTATGACTTAAGCCTTGGCTTCCTGTAAACTTTGTCAGTTGGTGTGAAGTCTCTCAGGCATTTCTTACATTTGTTTTTCTTAAACCTTTCAAAGTGCCCTGATTATATTAACAAATAACTTTGCAGTTATTAATGCATGGAAGCAGAGTGATGCCGTCTCCTACTAAAAGCAGGCACACAAGCACACTGAAAAATAAACCAAGTACAAGACTGAGCTCTAGTAGTCCATGTGATGCTACACTAGAGATAACACAGTTCTGTTGAATCCCTATGGAAAGGACTATGTCTCCAGGCATATGCTTATGATTAAAAGCACCAGCATGGGCACCTCCTAGCACCAGAGAATGGCACCTCTTACACCAGAGACACCAAGGCAACAGGAGGAGATAGGATGCTCTGAGGCAAGTAACAGTATTTGAGCCCAGTGCTGTTGGTTGATACCATGTATCTTCGTGGTGTCTGGCACTTCTGGATGCTCCCTGAAGAAGTGGATAATAAGGCAAATCACAGAGTTCTGTGGAAACCAACCCAGGAAGGCAGTAATGGGTAGAGACAACACGCCCCTTGTCTCTAAAAACAGAGATGAAAAGATACAACCCTAACCCTCACCACCTGCAGTAAAGAAACACCTTGACCTTGTCTACAGCAGGACTTAGAAGTGTGGTTTAGTTGTTGCAGGCAAACCAACACTTTTAAAAAGCCTCATCTAATGAAATATCCTGCTTGGCACTGTGCTTAGGCCTATAAAACATTAGGGAGAGATGCCTGAGAGCAGTGAGAGACAGTGAGCAGACCTAGACCACCCTCATTGCCTTCTGTGCCCAAGGAAGATTGGTGAACAGAGGGAATTCTCTGTCTCTCACTGAGATGGATGCCAACCACTGGGCATTCATGTTCTCACTGTCTCCAGAACAGGGCCCAGCAGCATGAGAAGCCAGTCCCTTCCCACTCCACAGCCCCAGGGCAACCTCATGGAGACATGTCTAGGCTGTTATCATGAACATGCAGAGCAGGACTGAGCTGAGTTACTGATAAAAGTTGTTTTTGGAGCCCTCAGTTACGGGAAGGCAGATGCTCATGCTGTGCACAAGGGCATGGAAAGCGGCAGATGCACTGCCACTGTTTTCTTCTAAATGTTTCCCTTCAAAGGACCCAAACAAAGAATTTCAGAACTGTCTAATCATGAATGTCTGCTGGGAATACCAAAATGGAGAAGACTTTCAGAAGGTGCTTAGCAAGCACCGGCTAAAAACCTGGTGCCCAATGTCCTAGACTGAGAGCTAGGGCCACCAGATACATCAGAGAAGCCCAGCTGGAACTTCAGTTGCAGTTTTTTCCTAAACTACCATTTTTTAACCTGGAGTTGGCCAGACTGGTCTCTATCAGATTATTTGCTAGGACAGAGGAGAAGAAATCCCTGCAAATACCTGTTGCCTTGAAGCTGACAGCAAGGTGGCCTCATAAGTAAAATGGGTCCAGCAGAGAAAGAACAGGAGACAGTATGAAGTGATGCCAAGGAAATAATTTCCCAATACTGAAGAAAAGTAGTTTTGTTCTGGCAAAGGCCTGAGGGTGCAAAATAACTGTTTCCATACATCTATTGTAACATCATTCAATTTTTAAAATCTTTCCTCCTATGTATGTGCTATTTTTTAATAGTTACTATGAGGGAAAAATGTCAGTACATTCCTTAATTAGACTTGTCTACACACAGCCATACCCCAAATGATAATCCCAGTTTTGTTATGCTGATGCAAATCTCTCAATACTGGGTCAAAGGAGAATCTGAGAAACTTAGTGTCTGTGGTACAAGTACAACAATGAGAAAATTAAGAGGTACTTGATTATAGTCTGCAAGATGTCTTTGGCAATTGAGGACACCATGTTTGAGCAAACAAAAGCAAAATGAAATTTAACAGCTAGGAAGCAGAATTACAAAAGTGCAGATTATAAACAAAAGGGTTATTCAGTGCATGCTAACTAGCCACAGGAATAATAAGTGTCCAGCAGTGTTGTATCCTTTAAGTCACCTGAAGACTAGATCAAGAGTGGGTGTCTTTGGAAAAGACTCATTCTAGTTCAACCTCTATTTGTATGGTCAGCTGTGGGAATCATGAGGTGAAATGGGATGTATTAATGAAGACCTCAGGCTACATGAGCATAATGGTTCCCCTTGCTTTGAACCTTTTTACTGTGAAGAGTAGCTCAACTTGGTTTGACGTGGTTGACTTCAATTGGTTTGAAGTCAATTTCTCAGTAACTTAAAATATGCTGGAATAAATGTGGCTTAAATGAAACAAGTAATCTGCACCTATTTAATTAAGTCTTTCTAAAGTTCTCCTTAGTTAAACCAATGGAAGCTTCTCATCAAAGGCACAGCTTCCTTGAGCAGGAGAAGACAGCTATGAGGATCCTAGAGCCCAATATTGTTCTGGGAAACATACTTGTATTTTTTGCATGTTTTCACAATTACAAGCAGCTGTAGTGACAGATCAGATTTCCAGTCCTTTCTAAGAAAAGCGTGCATCTGTTCTATTTATTTCTAGCCTCTCAAAGGATTCTTTAAAATGATGCTCTTTTATGTCAACCAGCTGTGGTGATCTGTGCAAGGGTGTAACACAGGGAAGGCCAGTGTTTTCATATCGATGCTCCAGGCCCTCCCTTTCACACTAAATACTTGGGATACATTTCCAGTCTTCTCAATTAGTCAGCCAGAAAAAGACAGGAGGGAAAAGGTCTACATTCTCAGTTGAATATAAAAACATCCACTGGTGAACTTTCTCATGGACATCATGGGAGGATGGCTCTGGCTACAAACCTTTGCCCTGCTTTGCACCAAGCCCTTAGCCAGCCCCAAACATTCAAAAGGAGAGGCTGTGTAAAGGAAGCATTTGGTAAAAATGAAGGACGGCAGCCAGCCTAAGACACCTCACCCTGATGAAATCCAGGCACTTTGGCCCAAATCTTGGTGTTAAACAAGGAGAGAGAAAGCTGAGTAGCAGCAAAACAGAAAAATACAGGCCCCCTCCCCACAAAACCCAGCTTCTCTTCTAACTTCTTCTCAAGAAGACCAAACCAGTACGTGCAAACACCAAATGCCAACCATCCTAATATCTGCATCACTTGGGGGGAAAAAACCCAACCACAAAATAAAATAAACCACCCTAAGGAGAGACCATACTTCCTGTTCCCAGAGGTTTACTCTTGCTGTTCATGTCCTTGCAAAACTGCCCAATTCCAATGCCAGGAAACAACTCTGCCACAGAGTCCTGTGGCGCTGACTCGTATCCCGTTCCTCGGAGTCAGCACTGCATCAGCAGGACATAAGCCCCTGCCCGCTGCTACCGGCTGACACACCAGTTGGCCTCCCACCCTGCATGGGAATCTCATCCTCTCAAACACAGAGATGGAAATAAAAAGGCAGCTGACTTCCAGGAAACAATTTCCTACTACCCAATGCCAGCTCATGTACCCAGGCAGCTAACTGAAGATGTAAATCTCTGGAGAAGAAAAAACACCTTGCTCTATCCAGTGCTGTCCTATTAAAAGTCACAGGTAATGTGTCAATGTTTAGAAGGAAAAAAACACACTTACGGGCCTGAAGGATTTGAAGACTTTTTCCAATATTTCATGGAGTGTCTTTTTCCCACAGGAGGAAATGTAGTCCTGTGCAAGCTGCAGAAAAGGCAAGCAGTCCTCACTTTCGCTCCACACGTGCTGAAAGCCAACAGCAACACAAGAAAGGAAAGGCATTAACAGGAATTCACGCCAACCTTTCCATGTGATTTTATAAGGTGACACGTTGTAAACATCTGCCAAAGTACACCCAGCCTCCTGCAGTTCAGACCCGCCCTGGGGACAGGCATTGCAGACTCTTTCAGAAGCCATGTTTCTGAGGAGGAACCTGGATTTTATTAACATGATGCATCAGAAAACAGGGAAATTGATCCAGCAGCGGAAATGCCTCATGGCTGCACCAGCCATGAAGGGTACACACACTTGGCGCACACACGTTTTACCTATAAAGGTGCTTTTGTTTGACATCAGCCCTGCTCAGACCTGGAACTCATGTCGGGTTTTCTCTTTTTTTTGTATCATCTGCTGCAGTGAAGCCCTCAGGAAGAGCTAAAGCATCTCTTTGTCTTCCTGGCGTTAGTGCAAATATGATGCGACCCTGGAGGTGGAACTTGATGTGTAATTCTCTCAACGATGCAGAAGAAAAGATGCAAAATCTGCCTGCAGGCTAGACACAGAGCCAAGGAGAGATGTTTGGGCACTCACAGCATCCTGACACTTTGAGCCTCCCACCCTGTTTTTAGATTTACTTCTCCTGGAACCCAATCTTCTCTTCCCAGGCAGGCACATTCCAACCCATTTGAGATCCTTCTGAATTACTCCTGCTCTGGAAATGCTGGTTCCCCAGCCTTACATTGCGAAGCCTCTCTCAGACCTGATGTTCATTCTGCTGCTAGGACATTGTTCAAAACAGAGCTGGCAAGCAATGGAGGTAGCACCCAGGCAACAATGCTTCCTGTGCCCAAGGGCACAAGCTAATGCATCATTTTAAACACCTCCTCTTTCAAGACTTGTTGCATGGGACTGTCTTAGGCAGCCTGCCACACAGAGAAGTGCAATACTGCCTAATCGGTTTGAGACTTGCACCTCTTTTTTAACACAGCAGCTCTTTTCCCCAAAGTACCTTTTTACTTGCTATAAACAGCAGGTTATGCTTAAACAAGAGAAGAGGACAATCTCTCCAAAGCTTGACTAACATTCAGGGAAGAACTCAAAACGACAGATGTTTCAATTCCTAGCATAAGGCTCGCATGTTGCCTTCCTCTTCAGCAGCGAGTACCTGCCAGGGATACAGTTTTGCACTTAATGAAAGAAAACAGTACTTAACATCACCTAAACTGCATCTTTAAGATAAAACCTGTAACTGCTTCGCTATGAACTTCACTTGACCTACATTTTCTTTACTGCTTGTTGCACTTTACAAGCATAAACATAGTGAAATGTTGTTATGAAAAGAGCCCTGCATTACTGAGTAGGTTCTGCTCTTTCCATACAACCAGAGTCACAGCTTAACCATTCTGGCAATAAAAATAAGTTCTTTACAGTCTTGCCAACTCTCAAACGCACATACCACAAGTCTCATGATACTTCATGCCATCTTAAGAGTCATGGGCCTTGTAATCCTATAAATATACAACTAAATCTCAGCTTCTGTTTACAACAACAACAACAAAAAAAAGGCAGGAAAGAAGTCTGCCCTTTATCATTTCTATGGCCTAAAAAGGCAGAACGTACATGAAGTGAACTCATGTTCACTCATATCAAATGAACACTTCCAAATCACATTTTAAAAACAGCCTTTGGAAGAAGGTTTTGGAGGCCTGGCCCATGATTTCTTCATACTTGGGGTTTGCAATAACTGTTTAGTTATTGCTGAACTTCAGAGCTGAATGTTGCAGCTTAGCAATTCCTGGCTGGTGCTAAACCTGTTGCAATTGTTTATATATAAAACAATTATGACTGCTGAGATCCTCATTCTTGTTTAAATTGTGGTTTCTTTTGACTACCAGAGCTATACACAGGAGGTTCCACATAAATGAAAATCAGGCCTTGCCCTTTAATATATCATAGCTGGTTCATTCCCCAGGGAAAGTTAACCCTGTGTTGTCCTATCATGTTTTCACAGTCTCTTTTCAAGCTGCACCACATTTTAGACACCAGTGTGAATTCATCAGCAGTAGGCAGAGTAAGATGATCTAGCATAAAGGGAAAACCTAAGAGAAAAATCTGATCACTGAGCTTTTGAGGAGATTTTTTTGCATAGCATCATACGACAATTAGGAAGTAACAGTTCCAAAAATCTCCCCATCTGCAAAGGATTTAAAATACTGACTCTAGCAACAAATACACTATGAAAAGTTTCATGTGCCATTAGTGCATACATCTTATTCGGAAATGGGTTGATTTAATCTTTTCCCTCAGAAACCTCAACCATAATAAAGACCAGGGTTGAAATGCCTGTAGGTTCAGCTGCATCTACAGCTCTCTGTGGTGGTTCAGTGCTGCACTCAGGCAGTGCAGGAACGGTCTCACAGCACTGATTCACCCATCTCCAGAGGAACCTGCAAAAGGAATTTCAGCCTTTCAAAATAAAAACAAACGTAATTTCAGGATTCAGCTCCTGCTTAGAAAGTTCAGTAAGGCTGCATATATGGAGATGCTTTTCCTGGAAAACCTGATGCCTGAGGATCTCTCTGCAGTGGGAGAAGGTGGCTGCTGGCAAACTGGTGGACCACAGTACTTGGCTGTGGCTGTGCAATTAAAAAAATATTAACCTCATCATCAGAGTATGTGTTTTCTGAGCTTGCCCAGTTTTGCTCACAGTCGCTTTGTGTCACTACAAAAGCACACAGCCACTAATTTCCACCTCAGCTGACCTAAGGTCATGGCTGAATTATTTAGTTCAGCATCTACACACAGCACATAGCTGAGGAAATCAATAGGGCTGCATCTGGAGGGGTTTGCTTTCCCTCACACCTTTAGATGACTCAGTATAGCTGGATGATAGAATCACTTGCTGGCCCACCTTCTTCTAAGCAGCCCACTTGTTGTGCATGACAGCAAAACTTTTTATTTATGGGGATAATTTGACTTGCATAAAATATTCAGACTTGCTGACTCTGTTCTGAAATATTCTCAGGAAATCTTGCAGCAAGATGGCATCATATTTTTATTTATTTTATCAGTTACTATGAATACCAGGAATAACATGGTGACTAAACAAATGACAGACTGTAAGGAATAGCATCACAACCCTCACCATCCTTGATTACGGCTACACTAGTCCAATTAATTTCTCAAGAACCTCAGGAGCATCAGGAGCTGAATTATACATTGTTCAGCTATCTAAAATGCTGATTCAGAGTTTCAGTGTCCAGGTGGTACGGAAAATGCCAATAAGCATCTCCATGGGTCTCCTGCATCCCTAGCATGTTAAAAGCCTAACCTAAATATATCTTTTAAGAAATGAAAAGTATCAGATTGTTGTGATCTGTGATGTTAGACAAAATTCAGTGTTTTTCTCCCCCAGATTGCATCTTGGCAACCTTTCCATGTTTTTTTCCTCTCCTCTTTCCTTTTAAGTTCATCATGCTCATCATTTCCTCCTTACAAGTGGGTTATCATGGAATTCTCTGGCACCTCCTACATAGCTTTTAAAGTCGCATCATTATGAAATGAAGACGTAAAGAAAGAACAAGAATACCAGACACCAGATGCTTATTAAATGTGAGGCTCCTTTATAAGAGGCACAGGGTGCAAGAAGGCTGTAAAAAGTGTGTCACTGTGAATTCTGTTTATACTTACTCACTCTCACACTCCACACTGTGTTAAAGGAGCCATGCAACAAGGCTTAAAGTGCAAATGATAATTAGTCCCTTGGCTTGTATTAAGTCTCCTTAAAATAAACTTTAGCCTGTTATTGCACATAGAAAGCAAAGTTATATTCTGGAACATTAAAAAAAAGGAAAGAGACTGCAAAAAAACAAGATAATCAAGCTGGGAGCAGAAATTAAATCCCACAGTGCACTAGGAGAAGGAAACTAGGAGAAGGAAACAGGATGCTGGAGAATCTAATCATTAGTGGGTCTTAATCAAATTAAAGAAACACCATCTCTTTAAATAAAAAGACTTAAGAATGACACCTATCTGCCTGTCTTAAAAGTATTATCATTACAAGAAGTGACTCAACTAATAAGGCTAGAAAAGACAGAAGAAAACACCACTTCTAGTTTTCCACTGCTTATGTTCCAGATTTGACAGGAGCTAGCCCTTTGTTTTACTAGTGGTGACTCTGAGCAGGGAGCTCTTCTCACACCACCCCTGGAATGAAAATATTTTCAAAATAAAGGGAAAATGTGACTTCAAATGCAAAAAAGAAAAAAAAAAAAAAAAGTGCCAGCATTGGAATAGGGTCTGAAGCTGCTTAAGATTTTTTTTGAAGTTGACTAGACTTTGTATGAAAGAGTTCACTCAATTACTGAGCAGTGTATAAAGAAACAATACATGTCTAAGGAAAATAAATGGACTTTCTTTGCAATTTCCAATATTGTTAGTGTCCAACCACAGTTTTAGCCTAGTGCTGCACTGGATTCATACATATTCCTGTTTATGAGTGCTGCAGGCATGACCCTTTCTGGGCACAGGCATCTCCAGAGAGGAATGAGCACTGAGGTCTGGCACGTTCAGAGGTGCTGGGAAGATGGACATGCAGAGCTATTCCCACAGAGGACTGAGAGAATCCACACCCTGAGATGCCCCTGAAGAGATACATCTGAATGTCTCATGAATCTCTGGGCAGGTGTGTAACTAAACTCCAGATAACTTCTTTCATAATTCAGCATCACCATCTACTTGACACAATAAATAAATAAATAAATAAATAAATAAATAAATAAATAAATAAATAAATGTCCTGCTCGCTGGGATCTGTGGTCCTGGAGAAGTCACTCCACTGCTCTTTGTTTCCATAGACCCATCTGTCAAATGGGCTCACTCTGCACTTACCTGTTGGAAAGGGAATTAGGGAACATTTTGTCAAGCAAGAGGAGGGATGAAACTTGTTCCGTGAAAGGAAGAACCTACAACACTCCTACAATAATGGTGCTAGGAGCTGTTCTGCTAAAATAAGCAAACCAAAATCCTTTCATTGAAGTTAACTGGCACTAGGCAGCTGACAAACCCCGTGGCCAGGTGCCGCTTTTCCACGACTCTTCCTGCACTTCTGCCCGCCACCGGGAGGGTCTGGCCGAGGGGAAAAGCACCCCCTGACCCTTCCCAAAGCCAGGTGGTTGTGATGCCGGAGCGTTTCCCGCACAAACTCGGCGCTGAACTCCGCGAGGGACGGCGGGGCGGGGGCGCCCGGCCGGCACCTGCACGGATCCCGCGGCGGGCCCGGGGGAGCGG